GGTCGGCGGCGGGCGGGCGGGCAACGCAGCGCCGAGCGGGGCCCGCGGGCCCATGAGGAGGCCCGGGGACCATGGGCTCCAGGATCAAGTGAGTGCGGCCGGGCCGGGCGGAGCCGGGCCGGGCACGGGGCGGCGAGGCCGGCCGAGGGCTGCAGGCCGCGGGCCGCGCGGGGGACTTGTTGCCGGGACCAGAGGGGCACCCCGCGTGCCGGCGTCACGCGGGGAGGGGGACGGTTGCCATGGCGATCCAGGGAGGCGCGGGGGCGGGTGCTGGCGGGGTGAAAGGGCTCTGGTGGTCAGGTGTCCCCTCCTCACCTGGAGGCGGGAACAGCTGAGATTACAAGGTAGCCCCCCTCCCCGGGTTTACTGAGAGCCCCTGAAAATGGTCATGCAACTGCTGGGAAGGGGAGTGGGAAATCTCCGGAAGCAACTCCCCAAATGGGTGTGTTTGGGGCGCCCCAGAGAGTTGGCAGGTCCTGAGAGGTTGCCCTGTGGCTGCTTGAGGCCTGCGGCCCCCACCGAAATCGCGTGAGGTTCTTAGAGGGAGGGGCCACTCCTTGATTTAAGGTCCGGATGGCCTGGGCAGGAAGGCCCTTCTCTCTTCTCCTATTTCTCCCTCTTATCTGTGAAAGTCTCCACACAGCAAGGGCCAACGACTATGAAGGAAGATGCCTCTGTGTTGTAACTGAGCACCTGATCTTCGTGATTGTTGGAAAGGCTTTGTAATCCAATCCGGCAAATTCCCTCATTCATTCACCTAGAGTCCCTAGTTTGGGGTTAGTTTTCCGGGGAAATTGTTGATACATCTAACTTTAGAACCACTGAAACATTGTTGCCCTCCTCCTAGACAGAAGTTGACTTTGGAAAGTGCAACTTTTATGCAGTCCAATTTGGGTGTGTTGCTTTGGACTCTATCTCCCTTCTCAGCCAGGTCCTCTACTGGCCTCTCCCTTAGCCCCAGAACATGAGATGCTTTATCTCTAATTACTAACAAATGTTCACTTTTTCTCTGTGACTAATAGAATTGTTTAAGGACATCAAAAAACAAAGTTGACAACATAGGCTGTTTTGTAAAACGATTTTCATAGGACATTTTAAGATCCCTTACTGGAAAGTCAGTGGAATGTGTTTATTTCAGCATTCTGAGACGTGTGGTAGGGAAGTTTGAAAGGGGAAGGGCCTTCAGGGTGAAGTGTAATAATTATTTGAACGTTGCATCTCTTGTCTTCATAATGCCCATGCAGTGTGACCCTTGCCCAGCCCCGCAGTCCCCTGAGTGGTTAGGCTTCCCACTTACAAAATGTTATCTAACAAATGAACTGTAAAAGTTTGCTTATGATAGTGAGAATGGAAGAGTTGGATGAGCACTCTGTTAATTCTTTATTTTTGTGGAAACGAGAAAAAAGAAAAGTTAGAAGCATACTCCAAACAAGAGCTTGAGAGGCTTGGGAGATAAAAAGATGTAATTTGTGAAGCATTTGGATTAAAGAGGCACTCCAAGTTTAGCTCCTGCTTCCAAGTAAGAGTTGTAAACTTGGATTTCAATGGCACTTAGAAACACTTTCCAAAAGCCACCTTAGAGTCGCAGAGTATACATGAGGACACTTACCCTTCTTGTTACAGAAAAGTTCAGAAACTTGCCTGACACTAGGCGATGAGTGTCAGAACCAGCATTATAATCCAACAAGTAGAAGTTCAGATGATAGCAATCCAGTCTGTCTTTTGCTTTTGGAGGTAGCAGGTTGACAAATATATTTCTCAAGTGTGTTTTGTGGAATCTATCATTCTGAGCAATTGGGCAAGGGAATTTACTAAGGCATGAAATTGTATTAAGCGTGAAATTAGTATGAAGAATAGCCTTATTGATCTAGAAACTAGACTGCTCTGTGATAAAAACAAAAACTCAGGCTTGGGAAATATGTTGCCTGTGAAACTGAAAGGGAATATGAAGAGAAGTTGTGAAAAGTAGTTGTGATTTATAGTGACTGTTGATGATGCAACTTCTGCCCGCAGCTAGGAATTTGGATGGACAGGTAGAGAGGAAATGGTCCTGGGTGCTGCCCTAGTTTTTGGAGAAAACAGCTTTGGTAACTACTGGCCATTCATCTTGGCAGGGCAGAACTAACAGTAGCTCAAAGTGAAACCTAAGTGTGTAGGCTTCATTGGGGCAGTCTTAGGGGTGGGTCTCCCTCAGTTTTCCTTTGCTTATCTCTGATGTCAGCAGGACAATGTAAAATCAGATTTAGGTTCAAATTCCCAGTTCTTTTTCATGCTAAGTATGAAACTTTGCAGGCACTACCTGTTTCAACCTCAGTTTCCCTGGGGGAAAATGGTGAGGACTATGAGCAGGTTGCAGGTTCTTGTGAGCAATAAACACAGTGTCAACATGAATGCTTGACCCATGTTAAAACTCAGTGATTTTTAATTTTTAGTGTTTTTTTTTAACTTTATCAAAAAACTAAGAACTTCTGTATTTTATACTGGAAATATGAGAGAAAGGTATGTTTCAGGCAATGGAGGAACTTTTAATGGTCAAGGAATTAGACCGATATTTTGCAGAGAAAGGCTTAACATTGTCTCATTATTAAAAAATAAAAGTTGATTAAAACCAATATGTGTAATTATGAAGCTGATGTCTTTTGTTTAATGAATAGTAAAGCATGTGTGTTGCTTGGCACAGGTGTTGAGATTTAAGCTTGATCAGACTTTGCTTTCAGGCTAAACCTGGTTAAGCACAATATGTCAGGCACCATGGTAATGGTTTATGTATGAACCATTTCATCAAAACCTCCCAACTGTTCATTGGTGTAGATGCTATTTATTAGCCACATTTTTCTTTTTCTTTTCTTTTTTTTTTGAGACAGTCTCGCTCTGTTGCCCTGGTATCATAGCTCACAGCAAACTCAAACTCCTGGGTTCGAGGGATCCTCTTGGCCCAGTTTCATAAGTAGCTGTGACAATAGGCACCTGCCACAATGCCCCCCTAGTTTTTCTATTTTTAGTAGAGACAGTGTCTTGCTCTTATTCAGGCTGGTCTCAAACTCAATCCACCCACCTCCCATAGTGCTAAGATTACAGGCATGACCCACCATGCCCATTTATCAGCCAAGTTTTTCAAAGGGGAGAATGGGAAGTTTATAGGCCTAAGGTGCTTGCCCTGATGCTACTTCCCCATCACCACTGCTCCCCCTACCCAGGCTAGGCCACATCCCTTTGTTTCATGTGTTAGTGGCCCCTTGTACTAAGCACATAGTACTATTATAAATCTAGTTCCTTGTCTGTCTCCCATACTAAGTTATAAGTAAACTTCTTGAGAGCAGAGACTATCTCATTTATCTTTTGAGTTCCCTGTGTCAGACTCAATGCTTGACACATGGTTATTTAGAAAGAGTTCATAGAATGCATTTAAGTAATATGTTAGGATCTGAGTTAAGACCATAAGACTAAGTTCTGTGAGTTGAGTGTACACAGAATTAAAAAAACAATGTGTCATTTAAACCCTTAAGGAAGAAGAGTTTTTATGTATTGTGTGAAGTTAAACCAAATTGCACTGGTCTAGGCAGACTTTTTTTTTTACTAAAGAATAGTTAGTTCATGTTCATTTAAATAAAGGAATATGTCTTGCCTCAAACCAAGCATCTAATTGACAAGGGAAAGAGAAGGTCTCAATATGCAGGCAGCATCCTAGAAACCTTAACCTTAACCCTGAGAAGGCATTTAGGTAGCCCAGGGTTTTTCAACCATTTTTATCTCATGGTACACTTGACCTAGTTAAACTTCCATGGCACACTTAAATTATGTTGATCAAAAAAATAAGAGTTAAAAAAAAAATATTGTGCTAGCAGCATCTTTTGAAAATAATGATCTTAAAAAATGTTGGAAGCACACCAAAGATCTCACAGCACACTGGTTGAAAATCATTGATCGAGAGCAGTGGTTCTCAAACTTCCTAATGCCTTGACCCTTTAATACAGTTCCTCATGTTGTGGTGACCCCCAACCATAAAATTATTTTCGTTGCTACTTCATAACTAATTTTTCTACTGTTACGAATTGTAGTGTAAATATCTGATATGCAGGATGGTCTTAGGCGACTGCTGTGAAAGGGTCCTTCGACCCCCCAAAGGGGTCACGACCCACAGGTTGAGAACCACTGATCTAGAGGGATAAAAAGAGCAGTGGTAACTGACAACCTTCCACAGGTATGTTTAAATCTTATTTAGTGTTAGGGAGATCCCAGTGGACTGGAATGTGGTTAATAAACAATTTAGCCGATAATGCAGACACACAGCAGGAAACTGTATGGCAGTTTAATATTGCTTGTGGTGACATTCTAGAAATTGCTTCCAGGCACCAAGTGCAGGAAGTGGGTTGTAAGTAATCGAAGGAAGTATTCTAAGTGAGTTTGAAGAAACCTGACATTTATGGACTCAGAGAAAAGCATACTCTAAGATTTGAAGGCATAGGGACAGGACAGGGCAACTGATGTGGCCTTGTGGTGTTTATTCTGCATTTGCCCTTATGCCTGTCTTTTGTCCCTGTCAGGCCGACCTCTTTGAGGTTGGTGACCAAGAATTTTACCCATTAATTCATTAATCACCTAATGCAGAACTAAGAAGATTGTCAAGCACATACTAGACACTTAATAAATGTCATAATTAGTAGTAGCAGTGTGCCTGGCAGTGTGCTAAGTGCTAGTGTGCTAGTACAAAAGGGATACAAAGATGAAAAGATTTTTCTTTGCTTTAGGTCTTTGTAAAGTAGTAGACATAGATGTAAAAAGCAACCCCATCCAGGTTCCCTCCTCACTAAAACAACTATAATACAATGAGATAATTGCTATGGTAGAGATACAGCCAGTGATAAATAGGTAAGTGTGGGAGAGGCTGTTTGGGGGCGGGGGATGTCAAGAAAGGAAAGCTTCACCGAGGAGATAATGCTTTAGCTGAGAGAAGAGTAAGGGTGTGAAAGGGGTCGAGGTGGTGATGGAGTAGAGGCAGTGGCTATGTTGGCAGTGGTAGTACCAACAGAGGAAGGAGGATGTATGGGAACATGGCATGTTAGGGAGGTAAGAAATTGCTGTGTTAGA